ATATATATATATATATATCAATCATTAAGACAAGTGGGTGATATTTGCCTCCGCTAACGATCTTCCTTGTCTGACAATTGGACCGAATAATTCGTTCGACGTAATGACCTGGTTTGAAAATCGCGTAAAATCATCGTAGCATATAGGCAAATCGTAAAACAGTATGATTACGTCCGGACGGATGTACGAGTTGTCATTGAAACGAGATGACTGTGCAATTCTCTATGTAAAATAAGACAATAAAGATAAATCGTCGGCAGAACATTGGACATTCGTCATCTACTCGATTTGTAGTAAAGATTTACGTATCTTACATATTCGATTCCTGATGTTTCATTTTGATTCAGTATTCAAAGAAGAATAATTATCTTTCATCTCTTCCTCTTTTTCAAACGTCTCAATTTTAATGAGATGATTAAAATTTCTCTTTTTCCAATATAATAAAACATATTATTCGCACTAATCAAGAAAGAGATGGGTGGATATTTTTAATTAAGAAAAAGTTGAAATTACAGTGGATTTTGTTTACAAAGTGATATTCTTTTGTAGAACGGAAATTTAATTAATATGATTGTGCATGTCCTCAACTAAGAACGAGTAAAAGTCGTTGATTAAGTCGAATCTTCTTTTATTAAGAAAATAATTAACTTTTAATATTTTTCATCTATTTAATTCGATTAATTTTTTCGTGTAACATTAATTTTTATTACTAGATTTTATTGGATGTGTAGCAAACATGTTAATTTATTCCTTTATGTAGGCTAAAAAAATAACTTTTTATCATCGGAACTATTAACTCCCTATTCCTAAATTTTTTCCAAAATTTAATTTTAATTTAAACATAAGTAAAATTAACGATTTCTACTTTGACGCAAAAAAAGATTAAATTATATAAGAATAATAAAACATATAATTAAAAATTTTGCTGTAAACATTTGCGCCGATTAAATTAATTAAATTTTGGTCGAAGTCACTTTTAAATTTCGATATGAAAATACAGCTACATAAAAAAATCGATTACAAATTAATGTCCATATCAGCGTTCATATTTCAGCGTGATATTATAAAAAAACTTGTTTTTATATTGAACGTCGATTTATCTTTTTTTAACATATTCCCATCCTCTGGTTCAGATTGCTATCACGAGTATCGACGTCGAGTAATATTATGCGCTCGGTGGCCATCTAGCAGGCACAAATCGAACTTCGCGTAGAAAAATGACGAGGCTCTTCACGTATGTATATACATACATGTCTCGCGTGATGTCTCATCGATTTTTCCATGAAATGGAAATTCCGCTCCCGTAATTTTCGAAACGCATTGCGCTGATCGAATTTCACATTCGACTAAATTGGATGAGTTGTCGCTTACCGCTGAAAAACACACGTACGTCGAATGAACGTCGAGAAGATGACACTAACCGGTCGTTCGGAGTCGCACTTTTCTACTGACTAATCGCGTATCACATCGGACCGGAGTAGTCTTTAGTGCGCTTGCGCAACTACACAGTCTACAAGGGTACCAGTGATGGATTAAGAAGTTTTGGGATCCTACAGCGACTTTGGCTATTGAATTTAATAGTGATTTCAAATTATTTTAATTTATCAAATAATTCTCAAATACTCATATTATCTTTTTAATACGGATAAAATGACTATTTTTTTCTTTAATGAATTTTCTTTATAGAAAAAATTAGTATTAATGAAAGTTTGATTAATTTAATAGTGATTATTTCGAATAATTATACGGATAGATTGATCAATTTTTATTGGAAAATATTGGATTAGGATCAACGAAATTAAAAATCTCGTTTTACAATTTTTGGAGCTGATTGAATTTGATTGGCTATTTTGATTAAATTTTAAATTGATATAGGAATTAATGGAATTTAAAAATATCAATTAATTAGGGAAATAAATCAGCTTTTTAATAAAAAAAAAGCATCCAACATCGATTAATCTGATGATTTTAAATTATTCTAATTAAATGCATGATTTTGTTAATATTAAATAAAAAAGTTAAAATAAGAAAATAATATTATAAAATTATTTCTGAAGCAATATGAAGGAATTAACGGTTAAATTTGAGCAAATTAAAAATGGGGGAAAATTAATAATAAATGGGAAAATTAATAATAAATTAATTAATTACATAATAATTATAGATGAATCTTTCAAAAAAACTTTATTTAGCCAAACTAAGCAATTCATAGCTTAAAAAATTCTCATAATTGATTCTTCCGTTCGTGGCGAGAATGTTATGAAACTTAATAGTTTCAATCTGAAATGGATCATTAAACTATACAATGTTTTTTAATTCATTTATTATTATTTATCCAACTTTGATACAGCCTCTTAATTTTTATCATAACACAATTTTATATTATTTACCTAGGAATATTATCTGTTCAATTTGTCCATATGTAATTATTATCTTTCTTTGATTTTGTTGTCAAAATCTCAAATCTCAAAATTAATTTGACTATTATTTACATTTAATTTTCATTATTATTTACTTTTTCTTTATTTTTATGTTGTAATAATTTTATTTTTTTGTTGTTGTATTGATACCGATAAAAACTAAGTAAAGTTCGAAATCTTTATTTTTCATTATTTATTTATCATTAATTAATCTCTATTAATCTTTTCCAGTACGTTGGTATCGTGGAAGATGTTCAGACACGAGTTGAATCAGGTTCATCCGATCAGCTCAGGACTGCAAGCAATGGCACTGAAATCCACGATAGATCTGACGTGCAACGATTACATCTCCAACTTTGAATTCGACGTATTCACAAGGTAAGCGGATAAGAACAATTTTTAAACGGCTCGTTAGTGCTCAGTACCTACTTTTTGTCGCGTCAATTCCGGGCCGATCTATACATCTTAGATATATAAATGTTTTATGACTTTTAAGGTTGTTTCAACCGTGGTCGACCCTCCTGCGCAACTGGAAAATTCTGGCTGTGACGCACCCTGGCTACGTGGCTTTCCTCACGTACGACGAGGTGAAGGCGCGTTTGCAAAAATATTGCATTACCAAACCTGGGAGCTACGTATTTCGGTTAAGTTGCACGAGGCTAGGACAATGGGCAATCGGTTACGTCACGTCTGACGGTGATATTCTACAAACTATACCGCATAACAAGAGTCTATGTCAGGCGTTACTGGACGGCTACCGGGAAGGCTTGTGAGTATACTATCGAGTTGCAACGGCTCAAGTTTGTTCCGTTTACCAGATCGATGTCCATAAAGATTTCACGATTACATATTCAAAGATCGATTTACAGCTATTTATACCCGGATGGTCGAAATATAAATCCAGACTTGACATGGGCGGTGCAGCCAACGCCGGAGGAACACATCAAAGTGACGGCGGAACAATACGAATTATACTGCGAGATGGGTAGCACATTCCAACTGTGTAAGATCTGCGCCGAACATGATAAGGACGTAAGGATAGAACCTTGCGGCCATCTTCTCTGCACTCCGTGCCTTACAGCTTGGCAGGTAGCAGTATATAATCTCTATGCCAACGTTCTATAGATCTCTTTCAGCGATCGATAAGCATTTCTGTAATAATTTAGTTGGCTCACTCGGCTTTATACTTACTTATATAGCATCATGGATAAAAACATATCTTTTTAATTCGTTATGATAAACAAAAAAAATTTAAGCGAAGAATTGTATGTCACATTACGTTTGACGGTTGCTTGCAGGATTCCGAAGGACAAGGTTGTCCGTTTTGTCGAGCTGAGATTAAGGGCACCGAGCAGATCGTCGTAGATCCGTTCGACCCGCGAAGAACCCACAGACCCGGAGCGCATTCGGCGTCTGCTAGTAATGCATCGACCCCCACGCGGGATCTCGACCCTGACACCGAGGTATCCGACTAGGAATAGCATCCACCTTCATTATTAAATGTGTTCTATGTATAACAACATCCATCCCTCCTCGCAGAGAGTATGCCTCATTTTCGAGAATGCCTCATACATTTCACATGAGATCTCGCGGTTTATCTACGGTCGTATCACGTCATTTCGTACGTCCATCGTCACGACCGTACGCCGTATCTCGTAGCAGGTATGCGGTAGCAATTTTAGACATGTAACGTATCGGAGGAACTATTTGTATCGATTTACTTCCGGGACCAAGGGGGACCAAATTACAAGGACGTGGATATATGGTTCTATAGAGTTCGTTGTCTTTTCTCGTTACTTTTTTTTATGTTTGCAAGATTATTGGACGAGTCGGTGCGGAATGATCGCTCGATCGTTAGCCGATCGGTCAGCCTTGTTTGTCGCGCATTTTTTGCAACTAACACGTTTCGAGATCGTCTATATGGTATAATTACAAATTTCATCGATTGGGCGGGACCTCACAGGTAAGACTCGCTTTTCTTGCACCTCATTGGAAGCTATGAGTCAGCGGCTTATTGTATGACCTATTTTCGCTGTCATTTACGAACCATGCGTATACAATCATAGCTTCCGAGCAATTCTACTTAACACCAACGAGCTAATAGAGATTCAATAAAAAATTATGTAAATTCGCGTTTATATAATACGTTCTATAAAACTTATCAGCGAAGAGAAATGTATTAGGCAATATCAGCTCGCATCTAGCTACAAAATGGATTCATTTATATTTACTTATGTCGCAAAAGTCCTTCAGTTCACAAAATTCATAATGCATGTGCATTTGCGTATTTTGGAAAGCACTCTCTTTTTTCAAGTATGTGCATATAGACGATTTTGATGCCTGTGACAAATCTTTATGTATATTATTTATATCGCATACGCGATTATATGATTTATAGATAATGGCATTGACTTTAATATTTAAATTGATATAACAGAAAACAGAAAAAATTGGTTCTACAAAGAAATGGATTCCGAGCAAAGATTTTAATATGTATCGCACTGTCGAAGTCGCATTTGTAATTTTTACCTGCTCGATAGATTACAAGACGGGTAAGCACAATATTCAGAGTTAAAAATATCTTCCTTTTTTTTTTCGAAAATTAGAAAAGATCAAATGACGAAATTGATACTACTTGCAAACTGCCTACAAATTTTTACATACGATTTATAAGCATATTATAATTGATGATATTGTCGTCATCGATCAACTACGATCTACTTTGAATAGCAAATTAAATCATTTACATTTATTTCTTTCATCGTTGTCCAACGGTCAAGATCTATTTATATATTCGCTATTACATTTATATCTCTAAGTGCTGTGATAAGGAATGATTATTTTATCGAAAACTAAACACTCTATGATATTCATATATCAAAGTGGAAAAGGAAAAAATACGTAACGACAAAAACGTTCCGTATTGTTAAGTGTCTAAATAGCCTTAAGCGTTCACGATAAAGAACAAAAGAAAAAAAAAATAACGCGATGATCGAACAAAATAGCATGCACTAAACAGCGGACTCGAAAGGATCGTTCACCATCGTTATGTATCCCGTTAAAATATATTGTGTACCTGCTGACAGTAGAGGCACGAATGTAATATCAGATTAACATCATCATCACTAAGGAAACGTTTCGTTTCCAGCGTTATTATATTATTTCTTTACGTTAAAATATTAATTTATTATTTATTCCATACATTGTATCGAAAAAGAAATGGAAAGGAAGAAAACAAAAATTCAGAAGATTTCAATACCAGTCATTGCGCGTTGAATCCAATGCTGTGGTATTACACGTTTCCTTTTTAAATGCAAGACACTTGTAAAATCTTGTAACGTATAATGCATGCAACTAAATCCATTGCGGTGTATGCAAGGAATCAATCTGATTCTCTAGTTCAATTATCGGCGGATTGTCAATTTAGTCTCTGTTAAGCTTTATTTTACGATCACGTAGAAGAGTGCATTCGCGCTTTAGTTATTAGAGATTCGATGAAAAGCGTTCGCTGTAATTGCGAAGCTTCTTGTATGTGCGCCACGCAAGATCGGACCAATTCTCGTTAATTTTAGCGTACGATCGCCGAGTAGCGTACTATTCATTGTAAAATATTAGGGACTTGAGAATAATTTTTTTATAATAAAATTGTATTGCCATTTACTTCGAGTTACTTTTGCACTCCGTGTATGCGCCACACAACATCCCTCTTGCTGGACTCTGGTTTCGTTATCGCGCGATCCCGCATCGGATTGCTTCTCCGGCAACATGGAAAATTCCCCGGGGACGAAAATGGCGATATACTATATACCGTTCGCATGATCGTTTTACTTTTATTTCATAACGTTATCTACACACTGGGGTCACACTGCTCTACTATCCGCTGCATGATCCAAAACTAATCGGTAATGTACATGTCTGACGGGGAAGAAGTCACACGCAACACGATAGTCGCGCGGTCACAGGTAAGTGACAACATGCATTATGACCGTCTGCTTCTACTGCTTTGTAATTACGCTCATATTTTTTTATCGTGACGTCGCTCGCGTATGATTCGCGACGGTTGACATCGAATGGAAGACGGATTGACGGACTCCGTTCGCCAAAAATGATGGAAAATGATTTTTCAACGCGATTTTTCTTTAAAGTGATTATGTGGCACAGAGACATCACTTGAAATGATTTTGTTTTGCGATTTCAATTAATTTCAATGATCGAAATCATTGATTTTATTGAACGCGTAATAATGTAAAAGATTTTTTGTTTGTATCTATAGACAATCACTCAGCAGTGCTTGTACAACTTCTCTCCTTCGCAAGCAAATTTTCTTTGTAAAAATAAATCAGCGATATGCGATTCGACAGTTTGTACAAAATATAAATAATTAACCGCTACAGCTTCGAGGACGGTTCATCGCTTTATTTGCTTCGAGGAAACCTTCAGGAAGATTTAACCATTGGAAGTCCATCTCATGGAGAATAATTATATTCTTCTATTGGAAGTAAAATAGGTGGTATAATTATCATTTCTCGTGGAATCTTCATATGATCATAATTATCATGCTTGTTCTTTCATAATTTTCTATAGAATGTATCTATAATTTATATCTGTTATTTATAAATGAAATATCTAATCAAATGTTGCTGGGAGAGTTAAAGTTTCATATGATGTTGTACTGTAAGATGTATAACTTTTTAAGATCAGTAGAAATATAAAATATCAAAAGAGATTTAAAAACCATTTAGTGCGTATAGACATAATTCATTCAGCAACTGACTTTACATCACTTAAGTATTTTTAGTAAAAATTCTTTTCTTTCCTCTTTATCCTTCGTTGCAGAAATCGATTCTATGTGCGATATATAAGCTGCTTTACGATAGATAAGATAAAGCACATAATTTTAAAATTGTTTAAATTGTTAATGGAATGATCTAATGATCTAATGATCTAAATTCCATTGGATATATATATATATATATATATATGTATATAAATTTGATTCAGAAGTATCTGTATGATTACGCACATTGTTAAAGTTGCTACTATCACATAACAATCTTAGATCGTTCCATTTACAATGGAAATAATCACGATTGTCAAGTTACATGATTCAGCCTGTGTATAAACGTAAGTACTTTCTCAGTCATATAACGAAATTCAATGTTAACCGGGTTTTTTCTTACTGTTAATGTTTTAGGACATAATGGAACTCTGCAACGGTAACTGCGGTCTCATGTGCGATGACTCGGACGAGGAAGATGATTCTAGTCCCACGAATTCACCGGTTCCGCCACGGAGGATCGTTCCAAGTCCGCCGTTGCCACCTAGGAGACCCTCACCGTCGCCTACACCGAACAATCATCTTAGAAACGGACGTCACTTGACGGTACCGAAAGAAAATGCTCCACCTCCACCGTCAGCAGTCACAGTGATACTGAATTACACCGACAACACTCAGCAGAATAACAAAGGTACCGAAAACCTTTTCTAAAATTAAGCATTTAATTATTATTTATCTAAAGTCATATTATTGTGATAATTTCATCTTTTTGCTAAGCAAAAGTAACTTTTATCAAATAATTCAATTTATGATGATTCAGGAGAAATATTAAAATCTTTTAGAAAGTGATAATATAAACTATTGCAAAAATCGCGAATGCCGATTCTAATATTCGGAAGGTAAAAATATTCACAGTGCTTGCAGTTAATACGGAGGCGAGATACGATATGTTGCATCGTGCGTCCTCACCGTCGTCGGTGCCGCCGATACCACCTGTGCCAGCGGTAGTGAGGGCTCACCCACGGCGATCTCATGGAAATCACACGGGGGGTACGTCGCAACGACAACCGCAACCACCGCCGACGTTGCCGGAGAAAGCGTGTCGTGTCAGCGCGACTAGCTCAACGACGAGTCAAACCGGAGGTCCAAGTAATAACGTACCCCCCGTACCGCCACCTTTGTCAGCGCCACGACCGCCGAAGGCTACCAAGGAGAGTGGCACCCGTCAAGATCACCATTACGAGAATACGATCGTAATCTGCGGCACGAGCCAACACGTCGTGAAGAATATCAACCTGGAGGCGAACCGCGCACGTCTCACGGCACTGATGAGGACGAAAGATGATCCGGGTGGCGGTGGTTACGGCGGCGGCGGCGGTGGCGGTGGTGGACCGGTGACCAAGTCAGAATCGGCGGCATACGAGAACGTTAACGTTGAGCACATCACGAGGCTGACGGCGCTCGGTTTCGCGCAGGATGCTGTGATCAGGGCGCTCGGCATCACCAGAAACGATCTCGAGATGGCATGTGATATATTGCACGAGTTTGCCACGAAATCTTCTTGACCAGGTACAAATCAATGGCATCACTCGCAACGAATTTCTTGGCGAATGCGAAGCGCTATGAACGACATATGTTCAAGTTGTGAGGAGTGAATCTCAAAAATACCTTCCTTTCGGATTCTCAAATACTTTATAATTCAGATATACGCTGAATAGAAATTTTCTCTCTCGAAGAGAATGCAGTCCGAATAAATTAATTTATGGTCGGTGTCGTCTCTTGCGCTTCGTGTATCGAAATCTAAAATATCAAATTGCGCTTATCATTATACGATCGAAAATGTTTATGATTTAAAAAAGACATATGATTGATCTGATCGCAGGGCCGAACACTGAGGTCTCATGACCGACCTTACCTGCCAGACGGTACTTTTGACAGGGAACACGCGCAAACTCCTGCAAGTCCCACCTTTGATGCGTTCGCAGATACATCGCGTGTCTTCGCCGAGCGTCTCCTTACGTTAGTGCGATATCGCCGGTGTTCCATTTTACGTCTGAAAACAAGTGAATGAGACACGCTCGCGAGCGGATAGTGAGTGTTATCAACGGGAGAATCGAGAAGAAATTTCGAGCCTTCGAATCATCTTTGAGAAAATGTCCATCGAGCGTGTCATCGTCATCGTATTTGTTTCTCCGATTCTTCCTTGTCGCCGGACAACTTCGGACGATACATCTTCAACGAGATTACCCGGACGTTCCCGACGTTTTTCCACGACACGAAAAGATTATTTGCACTACATAATTTTGCGCGCACGCGGCGCGCAAACGGCAGATTGTAAATAAGGGCGACGACCGACCAAAGACAACTTGCGGCTGCCGAAGTATCCCTTCCTGAACCATAACGTAACACGAGCAGAACTCTGCGTCTCCCGTACTTTTCTCTATAGTATCTTCATTGAGCGTAGCTATTACTTCGTTCCTTCTCGATATACTTAAGGTTCAAGATTACTTGTATATTTGCGCAAAAAGAACTCGTTTGTACGTATGTACGTATGTACGTCTGGAAGCGTTCCTCGAAAGTCTTCGGTCGTTCGTTTTCCATTATACATTTTGTATTATACAGCGTATCTCACGACACACAACAAACGCACGATCCGACATCGCGTTGTTCCGGGATCGAAACTGTTTAGAAATTACACATTCAATCGAAGGCAATACAATGTTCTATCCATTTAATTGACGTAACGAGCATCCGTTTATCCTACATAGAGCATCGATTCGCTAGAAACTTCGCTATATATAAATGTATAATGATAGTACTGACCGAAAGTACGTTAGATGAAAAATACCTGGCATCTAATTTTGTAACCTCTAATCTATACGTTCCTTCATCAAATTAGATTAGTTATATATATGTATATCGTTATTTAATGTATATTATGTATAATGTCCTCCACACATGTTAGCGCTACGTGATTACGCGTATGCATACCTCGGAGAGGATGAAAGCGACGACAAAATAACGATTCAGGTTTATAAAATTGTTAATCCACACTCGTGATTTCTGATCCTAGTTGAGAGATTACATTGAGGCACGAATAGCCTTTTAGAAAATAATGCGCACAAGATTTGGCACCTCTAGATTCGAATCTGCGCGGAGCTTTTCATTTCTCGACTCGCACACATGCGAGGAACATGCGTTTACGCAAATTTACCATTTGTGATATCGATTTATGTTCGCATATGAGCACGTGGTTTTTCATCGCGCCGAGTATCAATGTAAAGAAGAAAAAGAATCGGAATCGAGTTCCGAACGCGAAGAAGATGTGGCGAATATCAAAAGTTCATAGTTCTGACAACCTTGCGGCGAAGATGCGATCGGGGAAATCTATGAAATTGTAAAATCATGTACGAATAATACGAAAACGCTAGAACGGAGTACGTTAGTGTTCAAGCAATGATAACGAGATGCACTTGACAATGACGAGCGGAAATTTACGATTGCGCTGAATCGAGTATATCGAGACACACTAAGCGCGTATCGCTTTACATTAATTTAACGCCTTGCGATAAATGCTCAAACGTAATGCATAATCGCTTTGTCCTGCGAGAGGACAAGAGGTCTGGATAGCGAGCGATAAGATACTGAGTGATAGTGGAATTCGGCTGCGTGGCTTTATCGGTATCTTGCATGAGCAATCATTCGTGACGACAAAGGGGCCGCTTGCGAATCAATTCTGAAACGATGATGCAACGTGCGCGCGTGCTTGTTTCCGCGTCGCGTTTGCATGACGAAAAGTTATAATTACTACCTCGCGATTATACCAAAAGTATATACGATGTGATCGT